AGATATTTGGTTGGCAGGTTTTCCTTTCTTCCTCTCTCTGGGAATATCAGTTTTCAGCAAGGAAACAGACTTAAAAAGATATCATATATTCCAAGTAGCAATTGAAGGGGAAAATAGCAATGTGATAGATGTTCTAAGCCTTATATCTAATTACCAAGCACACCACATCATGGTTGTTATTTTCTCATGAGCGTGTAATCCATCTGTACAGACAGTCTCAGCAGGAGTTGTTGGTGTAGTCCAGACTCAACTTCATTGCCCAACTCTTAACTCTAAAAGGAAGAATGAAAGAAGGAAGGAGAATTATATGTTCATGTAGAGCAGAAGGCAGGTGGGGTGGGGAGGGAGAGAGGAAGAGAACGACAAATGTGGGCTCACCACCATGGCACCAACTTAGGAGTCTCAGTGAACGGGAGGAAGATGGGAGCAGCTGGTGTTTATTGAGCCTTCACTGTGATCCAAGCTCTGTTCTAAGGGCTTCTAAATGAATTAACCCATTTAAACCTCACGATGATGCTGTGAGGAAACAGAGGAACTTGATGGAGGTCACACCACTCACTAGTAAGTGGCAGAGCTGGCATCTGAATCCACGCCTGGCTGGCTCCTGAGTCAGATGGCACTGTCAACCCTGGGTGCTTGACTGGCTTTGGCATCTGCCTGTTATATATGAAATTCTTCCTCTTGAGTCTAAATTACATGAAATCCACTTTTATTCTCTGGATAGAGCTTAGGTTTTTCTTTTCAATTGATTTTTAAATATTTATGTAATGCATGAATACATGTAAAAATTTAAGTTAAAATATCACAGATAAAATGGAAGTCATGGTTTTCTTTGACCAACACCACTAAATTCCTGTTCTCTCCCAGTTACCCACCTCACTGGATCAATTTAGTATCATTTTAGATGTTTGAAAATACATTTAGATGCTTGTTATGTATTCTTTGAAAATATATGGTAGTGTTTTGTACTTTCTACTTTTTAAAAGAAAACACATTAAGGGACTTCCCTGGTGGTCTGGTGGGTAAGTCACTGTGTTGCCAATGCAGGGGGCCCAGGTTCGATCCCTGGTCAGGGAACTAGATCCCGCATGCATGCTGCAACTCAGAGTCTGCATGCCGCAACTAAGAAGCCCACATGCCACAACTATGAAGTCCGCATGCTGCAACTAAATATCCTGCATGCCGCAACTAAGACCCGGCACAGCCAAAATTAATTAATTAATTTTTAAAAAATAAATAAAACAATAAGATGCTATTTAAAAAAAAGAAGACACATTAATTGTATGATACCATAGTTCAGAGGTTCTCAAACTTTCTTGGTTTATGGCTCTTTCAGTATCTTAGTAATTATTTCATGGTGCCCTAGGTCAAAAGGATATTTAACAGTTCCATCTAATAAGAGTTAGATCCGAACAACTTAGTATTTATGTCCTAACATAGCCATTATGGCCTTAGTAGCCATTTAAAACATTACACACATGAAAATAGTATTTTCAGTTTATTCTTAACCATAATTACTTACTCACAGGCAGTATGTGCTTATTGGACACTCCATGGCTCTCAAATCCTGGGATCAGATCAGATGCTACCACACTCATTGCCTGTTCCACACCTATTTTTGCATGGTACGCGTTTTCAATCACAGCAACCACTGGAAACCCAACTTTGCAAAACGAATGACATCAAAAGAATTATAATATGTTCTAATATTGGAACTGTGGACCTCCTTGAGCTCATAGTTTGCACGGTGTCCCGCACATGTCTAGTATGGCTGCACTTCCCTGGGATGCTTCAGTGCACAATTTGGGAACTAACTCTGGCCACAGTTATTAATTTTGCAGTTCACTTTTTTCATCCCAAACTGTGCCTTAGGGATTCAACCATATTACATATAAAGATCTACCTCCTATAAAACACTGCTGCAAAATTACCCAGAATTTATTTACCCATTTTATTTACCCATCTTCCTGATTATGGCCATTAGTGTTATTTCTAATATTTTGTAATTTTGTATAATATTGCAGTGAAAATTCTGGTTTTTTCCTTTGTTCACATGGCCAAATTAGAGAATAAAGGAATTGCTAGGCCATAGGCCAGTCAGGTTTTTAAATTTTAGTACATACTAATAAATCGAGCTCTTTGAAGAAATGATTTTCTGTAATCCCTTGAAACATGATTACTGCTGGCTTATTTTTCTTAGGACTCTATACCCTATGACTATCCCATTGGGGAAGAATAGCTGTCTTGGAAATGTATATAGTGAGTGATTATATTGTAGGCAAAGGTAATTGAGAGGCAAGGGCAGAATATGAATAGGCTGAGAGGAAGAGGAAGGTTGGAGCCGATCAGAAACTGCAGGGGTATTTTGTAGGACAATGAGAAGGCCAGTTCATTTAAAGTAAATAATTTATGTAGGGCACAGATGGCAAATACCTTGCGGCATGCCTTAAATGTTTCCTCCCCCTCGGTGGGAGACATACTCAATCCATCATGGCACAGCAGACGTAACCAATCCATCACCGCACTCATTCTCCCTAAGCCTTCGCACAGTCTTGGAGTTTTCCTCACAGCTCTGGGAGATTACCACCAACTAACTAGTGTGGGCACACAAAATGAAACCTACCTGTCATTCCCGGAGGCAGTGAGAAGGTGGGGAGGTAGGCTGAAGTTAGGCAGAGAAGGGCTAAGGAGTTTAGAGAATGCCAAACAAGGAGAATTTGGAAAACATTTATATTTCAGACTTTATTAGCAAAATGACTGGTGATCCTCCTTTGTGAAACAGTAGCAATGGTTATTGATCTCAGGCTGCTGTTATTTGTTTTCATGCCTTAGTTCTAAATTATCCTATTTATTTATTTCTAGAAAAGTAATTTAATCCCCAGAGGCCCCTCTTATTATTCTCTTCCATGTGTCCCATATATTGAAAGACGCGGTCTGCCAATTAAACTGTACTTAGTAAGTAACAACAACAGCAACAGCAAACAAGCATTCGTTATTTTTCACGTGCCAGGCACTGTTTAAGCAACCTTACGTTTATTAACTTTTTATTAGCTGTTAAAATCGTCACCACAACTTTACAAGGTAGGTACTATTACTATTCCCACTTTATAGTTGTGAAATTGAGACAGAAATTAAACATTCTGCACAAGGTTATATAGCTAGTAAGTGGTATAATCAGATTATATGCCTTTCTCACTGTTCAATTTTAACTGTGTAAAGTCCAAGCATAATTTCTGATTAGAAGGAGATAACCAAAAGTACAATGGTACCAAGGGCCAAGAGGATGGGGGGAATGGGAGTTATTGTTTAATAGGTATAGAGTTTAAATATTACAAGATGAAAAGAGTTCTGGAGATGGATGTTGGTGATGGTAGCACACCGTTATGAATGTATTTAATATCACTGAACTATACACTTAAAAATGGTTAGAATGGTGACTTTTATGTTATGTGTATTTTACCACAATAAAAAAATCAGGGGAAAAAGGAGATAATCAGGGTTCCCATCATAAGTTGGTATAATTTTGGCCAGAAGCAAAGAAATTTGCTATATTAGTTTGCTTGTGCTACATGTCAAGGGTAAATGCATGGTTTCCTGGCAGATTCTTCATTTAGAAGAGTTAGATTTATTTTAAATAGCTAAAAGACCCCCATTCTTGTTTAAAGACTTGCAAAGATCTGAAACCCAAGATTGGAAACTACTGATTGGGCACTCAATTCTCCAGCTCCTGGGGAGGTAGGGAGTGTTCAGCAAGGAGAATAATACATTTTAGAGTGAACTGATCTGTTGGGAGGCCACGTGCCTGAGGTTAAGGGCCTGTGCTCTGGAATCCCACTGAGCTCTAGCTTCACCACTTCTTCCCTTTGCCATTTCCTTGCGAAGTTCTTTAACATCCTGAGCCCAAGATTTCTCATCTGTAAATAGGGTGGTAGTGATAGCTCATGGAAACTCTTGGAAAGCCTGGCACTTAGTGAGCGCTTAACAATGCTAGCTCCTGTTAAACTTTATGGCTACGCATTTACATCAAACAATAGGGATAATACAGAACCTTGAGGCTTACTGGATGCCACAGATGAGATAGAGTGAGGTGTAAGTGGTCAACTGATGGTAAGTTTCCTCCTCTTCTTTCGTCTCCAGTAATCAGCAGGGAGTGGGTGCCCCGTAAGTGAGGGGTCCCGGACATCTGGATGGATACCCATTGGCACCTCTCTTATCATCTTTATAAACTTCTGGTGTATAAAGTGATGCTTCCTGACGTTCCTTAAGCAGCTTCAGGGGCATCATGGTTAGTGATATCAGAGGCTGCCCTGATCTCGGCATGTCAAAGTGACCTTTACTCATGGTGTGGAGAGAGCTAGGCGCTGGGGCCAGCGTTGTGTCTGCTTCAGATACCTGTCAGTAACACAGTTCTGAGCTATTCAGGACTTTGGGCTTCTTTGTTTTGTGTTGGAGCTGATTTTGCTTCTTGATGACCTCAGGCCTCTGAAATAAGATATTTAAAATAATATGTTCCTCCCTAGTGTGAAGGAAGAATTGCCTCTGTGTGTGACAGAGCTAATGCTGGCTTGGCCCACTGTTAACCTGAAAGGATGCTGCTGGACTGTGACTTGTAGAGGTCACGGATGTCAAAGTCTTTAGCCATCTGTGGTTTGCCCAGAGCAGTGGAGCTCAAAGAATCACCTAGGAGCCAACTAGAGCCACTGGAATATCCAATTTAAGTGCATGTTTTCTCCCTTGTCCTTCTCTCCTAGCAACTGTATGACTCAAATACTACTTAGAAAGTATTAATTCTCTGTAATTTATACCCTTGCCTGTGGTATTATTATTGCCAATTGTTCATGCTGATCTTTAGAAGGTGGAGGAACCCTGAGGAATATGTATGGGGAACTGAGGCTGTACTTTGGAAAAAGAATATCTTTATTAAATTCGTTTTAGTTATTAAGTATGCATCACATGGTCCAGCCGTTTGACCCACAATCTCTCTCTTTTTTTCTCCCCAGCACTGGCTTGAACCTAACAAGTCCATCTCCAAGCAAATGAAATGTAAGTGTCAATCTGTGCGTTCACTTTTGCTATGAAATGTCCAAAGATAGACTCTACTTCTTTACAAAGTTTCTCCTGCCAGGGAGGAAATGGATGGAGTTGAAGATTTGAGGGTTGGGGGCTTCTGCCTCCCAGGAAGAGCTGTGTAACTTCTCTCTTATTTGTTGGCCTCGGTCCTCCCTGCAGTCACTATTCCTATAGCTGCCTGTGTCTCTCACCCTCCCCACCATCTTACCCTCGTATTTCATATTCGAACAGGGGTATTGGTGCCTGGTTCCCTTTGATTGTTGGGGTTGCTAGTAAATGGTTCAGGGTGGGAGGTCGTCTTGGGGGGGCAATGAGAGAGGCAGGTGTATTTTGAAACTATGATCTTGCTGCTAACTTTACTGAAGATTGTAGTATTCTTTCCCATCCCTCAACCTCCCCAGTATATTTTTCTGGGTAATAGTTTTCAAGCTCTGGTGTTCTGAACTGCCTTTTTTCCCCCCATGAGCTCTTGGAAGAGTTGGCTAGGGAAACATCTCTCTAGAATATAGAATATCTGGTCATGCACCTGGGGCATTGTGAGGAGGGTGTTGACTGATGGTTCTGGGTGGCATGACGTTTTGTCCTAGTCACCCGTGCCAGGCTGTAGTCAACCTGTTTTTATTTATGGTTTAGAGGAGAGCTTCTGAAATGCACCTCAGAAATTCACTGCCTGCCCTGAAATCCATTTATCCCTTCATGTCAACGTTCCCAGGGCTCTGAAATATAGGCGATAAATCAGTTTCTCATCAGAGATCAGGTTAGCGCATATTATGTCACCTGTCATCATTCAAGGGATTCTTTTCTTTTTCAAATATGAAGAAATTATTCGGGGCAAGGTTTTTAAGTGGGAGAAGGAAGAAACTGAACATGGATGGCAAACTAGTAACCAACATACCTATTCCTTAACTCTCTTCTTTTTCCCTCCCTCCCTCTCCCTTTTTCTCTCTGTCCTCCCTCATACCTCTCTCTGTCTGCCCCTTCCCATTCTTCACCCATCTCTCTCCCATCTCTCAAGAGCAAACTGGCCAGTTCAGGACACGCAGCCAGCCAGGTTGTTCAGGCTAACACCCAGGGCTGCTGTGGGCCATGGGTGCTGCAGAGAGAGGGCAGAAAAGATGTGTGAGATGCAAACAGGGGCAGCAGTGCACATGCAGAGTTCAGAGAGGTCAGGCTCTTGGGGTGAAGCTGGAATAGACTTGGGACAAACATCCCAGAAGAAGTAGCAGAACAGAATTATCAGGAAGCTTTGTATAGAATGATATGCAGGATAGTGAGAATGAACTAACTTGTCTGCGAAAAAAAATTGCTCATGCCTGGCTTTTATCCCTTAACTACAAAGTTTTGATATTTTTGTTAGTATATTTTAAAATATTTAGATAACTTTCCTGTACACTTATTTATAGTAAATAGTTCTTTGATTTTTGTTCTTAAATGTCATGAAATATTTTCCTTAGGGCACACATTTTTGAAATATAACTTGTCCCTAAAGTAAGATGTATTTCAGCACTTAATAGAAGAGAAAATTTTATATTTGTGAAAAAGTTTCTGCTTAAGAACTTTGTGTCTACACATACTAAATCTGAACAGCCAGCTCAAGATATATAATGTTTTGGGAAATGTGGTTTCAAAATTGATGTATGACTATTGGCCAGGTTCAATCTAATGACAAATAGAATCTGAATCTGGAAAAAAGAATTGTGTAAAATTCAATTTCTAAACCAGACACGGTGACTCACTGATTCTAGGAACCTACCTGTCACCTAGTCCTCTGTTGTATTGTTAAGAACATTAGTGATCAAAAAATTATGTAATTTTTCTCAAGATCACAAACCTCGTTTTGTTGTTTTTCTTGATGTCTTTTAGTATCAAGAATTTCTTGTGTTCTTGTGCATATGTCCTGGAAATATTCACTATAATGTAAATTAGAAAAAATTTAAGCTAGGGCTTATAGACTGTTAACCCAGAAAAACTGGGTCCAACCCTTGGGACTCATCCATGAGTTTATCAACAGGATCTGGTTGCAGAACCCCAGGCAGCTTCCTCTTTGCTTGTGGCTATGCTGTTTATATTCTGACTGCCTTTGAGTAGACAGTGAGACCATAATTCCTTGGAGGAAGAGTTTCCTCCATTCCCATCTCACTCACCAGTGATGACCAACTTTCAGGTCCTTTGCCCTGACCCCATTAAGATCCCTCTGACTATGGACGTTCCCAGGGTTGGCAGAAGGCCAGCTATTCTGATTAATAAAATTTTTACAAAGCCATTATTATGTCTTACTAACATTTTTGAAAATAGTTTTTTAATAGTATCATGTTTGTGGTTTGAAAAGTTCAGAAAAATTTAAACTATTTCCTTTCTCCTCCTGCTTATATCTCCATGCTTACTCCAAAGAGATAACTATTGTTAACAGTATTTTATATATCCTTCTGGGAACTTTTATGTATGTGTAAGCTCCCCCAATATATGTAAGGCCTTTCCTAAACAAAAATGAGATCAGTCGCTATATATTATTCTTCACCTTGTTATTTTTCTTAATAATTTTAGAGACTTTTTTTCGAAATCAGTGATTGATGATTAGCCTCATTTTTAAAATGGTTTTCTGGTAGTTAATTGTATGCATCTATGTAATTTACTTATTAATGGACATCCACATTGTTTATAGTCTCTTCCTATTACAAATTATGCTGTCATAAGCAGGCTTATATGTATATTCTTGATCTTGTACATCTGTCCTAGAAATTCCTAGAAGTTGAGTTGTTGGATCAAAAAGTATACACATTTTATATTTCCTTGGAGATAAATATCCATCCAAAGATCTTACAGTAATTTACTCCACTAATGTTACATGAGAGACCTTGTTTCCCCCAAATCTTGTTGAAGATAGGTATATCAAACTTGTTTTTATGATGACCTCATGTTTACTAAGGAAGAGAAATATGTAATTGAAAAACTAATTAACTGGGCAGTTATTAACTATCAGTTTTAAAACTGAGAAACTTCTTAAACCAGTCTTATTTCTCCTCTGACCTTAGGAGTTACTTTCAATTTTATTTTTTAAATGAACATATGGTAAAATTGCCTTTATTTTGTTCTACAGCGCTATGAATTTTTAGCACACAGATAGATTTGTGTCTGCCACAGTCAGGATACAGAACACATCACTCTAAAAACCTGTCTTGTGCTGACCCTGTGTCGTCACACCCACCTCCCCTAACAACTAACAACCACTGATCTGTTCTCTGTCAATATAGTTTGGCTCTTTTGCGAGTGTCATATAAATTGAGCCATACAGCTTGTAATCTTTTGAAACTGGTTTCTTTCACTCAGCATTAATAACTCTGAGATTCATCCAAGTTCTTATGTTTCAATACATGATGCAGAAAATTAATGAGAATAGTTGGTCTTTGAAAAGGTCAAGAAAAGTTGATAAACCTCTAGCAAGACTGATGAAGAAAAAGAAGACACAAACTACAGGTATCAGGATCAAAAGAGGATCTGTCACTACAGACCCCAAAGAACAACTCTAGGTATGAAGTTCGACAGCTTAGATGAAATGGACCAATTCCAAAAAAACCACAAATTACCAAAACTCACCCAATAAGAAATACATAACATGAGCAGTTTTACAGTTATTTAAGATACTAGGTTTAAAATCTTCCAGAAAGGAAATCTTCCACCTACTTGCTGCCATTGCTGTTGCTGCCAGAACCCCTTTTCTTGCTCTTCAGGCCTTAACTAGGAGCTTCTAAGTCTGTGCTGATGCCCAGGTATCTCTGAGTTCTGTCCAGGGTACACAAAGGGGAAAATGTGTTGAACTCAACACTGGTTCACTGATTCTTTGAATGCTTGTCTTTGTTTCCAATCTGCCTGCTACTGTTTACTTTCCAGAGACCTTAAGTGACTGCTGCACATATTCTGTCCAGGTTTTATAGGTGCATTCAAGGCGAGAGACAGGGCGGGGTGCAAGTAGTCCATCCTGCCCGGAACTGAAACTTTAAAGTCAACTTTTAATAATTCCTTGTCTACTGGGTAAAAATGCAGATAGGCTACATAATTTACTTGGGAAACATTGAGGGAGTATCTTTCTCATTTCCGTGTTCCATCACTGTATATCCCTAAGTACAAATGTGGACTGAGCTGCTGATTTGTTTTTCTTTCAGAAGTACTCAGGTAATAGACTGCCTGCAAACAAAGTGTCAAATGAAATGCATATATTTTTTTAACATCTTTTTTGGAGTATAATTGCTTTACAATGGTGTGTTAGTTTCTGCTTTATAACAAGGTGAATCAGCTATACATATACTTATATCCCCATATCTCCTCCCTCTTTCATCTCCCTCCCGTCCTCCCTATTCCACCCCTCTAGGTGGTCACAAAGCACCGAGCTGAGCTGATCTCCCTGTGCTATGCTGCTGCTTCCCACTAGCTATCTATTTTACATTTAGTAGTGTATATATGTCCATGCCACGCTCTCACTTCCTCCCAGCTTACCCGTCCCCGTCCCGGTGTCCTCAAGTTCATTCTCTATGTCTGCGTCTTTATTCCTGTCCCGCCCTTAGGTTCTTCAGAGCCATTTTTTTTTTTTTTTTAGATTCCATATATATGTATTAGCATATGGTATTTGTTTTTCTGACTTACTTCACTCTGTATGACAGACTCTGGGTCCATTCACCTCACTACAAATAACTCAATTTCGTTTCTTTTTATGGCTGAGTAATATTCCATTGTGTATGTGTGCCACACCTTCTTTATCCATTCATCTGTCGATGGACACTTAGGTTGCTTCCATGTCCTGGCTATTGTACATAGAGCTGCAATGATGTAGTGCATATTTTGAATGTTTGGTTTTCAGAGTCCTAGCTTTCCATGCAGGAATGTTGCTATGTAATACATACTGACTCTTCTCACTTCAAGCCTATAGCTTTTTTAGCCTTGTCCCCATGACCGTGGAATGTAGCCCAATGTGTATACGT